GGGCCTTAAATTCAGTCGTAATTGAAGCCTACTTCTTGGATAAAATGGAGATGTTGATTCTGTAGAAGTTTAGTTGCTCTCTCCAATATATAATGGGATATTCACATGGTAAGAACTCTCTGTCTCATTAATACCCGTGTTTACTTTTTTCTTTTCTTTGGTCTTTTAGCAAAGGTTGGACATATCTATGTTGTATTTCTCATCAGTCTTTGAGAAGCTGTAGGTGATAGGCTAACAGAATAGGCCTTGAAGACCGGTCGTGGAGGTTTCCTGGTTCATCCTTTATTCACATGCTCTGTGCCTTGACTCAACTCCCTTGTCTCAACTCCTTGAAATATAATATAATTATTGTGGCAACTGCCTTACAGGGTTGCTGAGAGTATGCAAGTACAGTACTTAGAACATAGTAAGTACTCAGTAAATGTTAGTGCTTGATAGTATGAGTACATGTCTTCCTCTAATTTGCTATCTAGATATTTGTAGATTGGTGACCTTGTCTCTGATATGGAAAGGTGAAGATTTTCCACAGATCTGTGAACTTTCCCTTTGTCTATTTGAATATCCTGTATTTTAATGCTAAATAATAATATGATTATTACGCAATCTACCTCCTCAAAAAACAAGACGAAACAAAATTAAATTTTCTCCTAAGTCAAATTGACCATAATTTTTTCTCATGTAGTCCAATAATTCCCCGTACACCTCTCTTTTTTTTCTTATTTTTAGAATTTTTAATCCATCACTGTATATCATTATAGCATAGAAAAATAAATTTTTCCATCTGGAATGCATTGTATATTGGCTCAATCAAAGAGATTACCATACATATTAATATCAACAGATAATTTTCCATTTCATGTTTCTTAAATGTTTCTCCTTTCTCTGCCCCCCTGATTCTCTCCCTCTAACTCTCCACCATTTCTCACCTGCCTCCCACACTGTTTCTGGTATCCACAGTTGCTCTTCATGCCTATATACTGTCCATAGTTCAGTTTCATCCACTTCCCTTTAAGTCCTCATTCTGAGTGTTAAGAGTCCATATCAGCTCTGAGTAAACTTACCATAGTAGTCAGGAAAATCTCACTGTGATTTACATTTTACGTTCAACTCTTTCACTCTCCTCTCCTTCTTTCGGTTTTATTTTTAATTATACTTGCATTTTTAAAAATATTTTTTGCTCTAGGACATGTGTGCTCATGAGAGAGAGAGAGAGAGAGAAAGAGAGAGACAGTGAGAGGGAAAGTGAGAAATCACCCCCACCCCCAGGGGATAGCCATGCTGTAATCCCTTCTCTTCCGTTCTTCTCCTGGGATTTTGGGCACACACACACACACGCCTGGCATGATTGTCAAACCACCAAGTCAGGGACTCAAGCCACAGATGACCATGTGGGAGTCCAGCACCTTAACCACCATGCCACATGCTGGCCCCTATATTTGAATTTTTGTTATTGCTCTTGCACATCTTGCAATTATGGAATAAAGTCACCTGAAACTGGTTAGGGCCTTTCACACCCTTGAAAAACTATATTATTCATTTTACTTGCAGCCCCTGAAATAAAGCTTCTCTAAGACAAGCTCAAGGAATGTCCAGCACATCTGATAGACACAGCTGTTAGGCCCTTCTCCTTTGTTGGGTTCATGTCTTTCCCTGGTCCACCTGCTGACCTAATTTAGACATTGCCCCACACTCAGTAGTTACTCAGGGAAGTATTTTGATATTTAAATTTAGGCAACTAATTCCAATAACATGGTTCTGTGTGCCATTGCCCTTCTCCTTTGTTGCTGTTTATTCATGTGACTCTGTATGTTTGCCAAGCCATCAGACTGTTCACAAAATCCACATAAACACAGGTGAAATTAGAAGGTTTGAACCACTTCCTCAGACTCAGGCTTTTCATTACAGTCAAGAGTACCATGGAAAGAAATGTATAGTAGACCACATGGACCAAAATACACTTGTTTAGCTGGTTTATATGCTCAGGTGAACACCTTGTTCTTGCTTTATAGACTAGTGTGTGATATTTTATAGTAGATGAAGGATTATGAACTACAAAATTCCCTCAGCCTTTTTCACAGGTTGGCTTTATCTTGGGTTTAGCAACTAATGCTATGTCCCAGTGTTGCTGCAGAGCTCAAATCCATTCTGCTTCCTTTTGCTCTCTGTCCTTTGTAGGGGCCAAGGAGCCCCACAAACTAACCAGGAAGTGTTGGTGGAATTTAGCATTGCATGCATTAACAGATTTTGAGGAGGAAACTAGAAGGGGTAAATGACTTATTGGTGAGTCATCAGTTTCAGAAACACACCCTACTTTTAAATCGACCTAAATACTGAACATACTGTGACCTCCTTATATTAAATATGGAATTAAAAGGCTGTTAAAAGCATTAATTTGTTTGATTCAGTTTTCTCCCAAACCAATGCACTCATGAAGTCATTCATCAATGTCTACTGTTGTCTAATTTTCTAGTATCAGATAAAATATTTGGTCTAACATGGAATCAAGCCAAATGTCCAAACATAGATGAGTGGATTGAAAAATGTGACGTATATACTCTGTGGAATACCACTCAGTCATATAATACAATGAGACCCCAGCATTTGATACAAAGTGGAAATATGGAAGACTTAATGCTAAGCAAGGCAAGTCACACTATGAAAGACAGACTTTATGTGTTTGCACTCAGTCTATACCAAAAGTCTGTGCTCTATAGCAGAAACTGAAAGACTGGAAGGTATAGTAGCAGGGAAGGCAACTGTAGATACTAGAGATAATAAGGATAAGGGTGTGTAATAGGGAAATGAATGGAAATAAGCAGTATGTTTGACACAAAAATGAAAAGTTACTTGGTGATGACGACGTATATAGTAATGTCTTTGTCTTGACTGATATGCACTGTATTCGTGCTGGGAAAAGCCATGTTGTACACTGTAAAGATGTATAGTGATTAAATGTAAATAACAATAAAAAATAATAAAATAAAAATTTTAAGACTCCCATTGGTTCTGAAGGCACATGTTGACTCTTAGGAAGTTACTGGGCTTCAATGGCAGAATGACCAAAGGTGAATAACAGAGTTTCCATCTCAGCTTCAAGCCCTCACTACACTAAGCTTCACAGTAATTGGCCATTTTGTTTGCCCTTCCACTGCTTCTTCACCCCTCACCTTTTCTTTCCCCAATTCCATGGCCACTTTCTTGCTCAAGTAATTAGGAGGATGTTAGTCTCATTTTATAAATGCATGCCTACTAAGATGTCGTGATATGTTACAAACAGTTGCTTTTTAATATAGACAGTAGGAAAAGGGCAGCACTGAAGAGATGGCACCTCTAATCCTGTCCTTAGACATTAGGCTTAGCTGCTGTGGTGCAATGGTAACTAACACAAGTGCCCTGCAGTGCTGAAAGTCATATGACTGACTATGGGCGTGGACCCCTAGGTTGGCTTGGAAACCAGCAGAGGCCAAACCAGAAGCCTGTGTAGGTGCCCCAGATCCTGAGGAGCTCTAGTCCTGGAGATAGGATGGCAGCATGATGAGACTCTGTTAGGTGAGCTTTCATCTCTTTCTTCCCACCCCCATTGTGTGCACACATAACTACTCTATCTAAAAAAGGAGCATAGACATTGGATCAGCTGAGTGAATGGAAATTTGCCCTTCAGTTACAGTTGGTAGATTCCAAAACAGGCAAAACCTTGCAGAAAAGGCATATGAGGAGATTGGAATCACTAAATTATGAAATTGGCTCTATTCCACCCAAGCCAGTGGCGAAAAAAGGAACAATAGTTGATGCCCTTGAACAATTGGGGGTTGTTAGGTAAGGACCATTCACTTGACAGCTTTTTCATAGGGCCAGGTCCAGACCTGATTGTGAAGAGTTGATATGGACCATGTGAACCATCTGTGTGGGAAACAGGAGGGTAACACTGGTGGAGGCCTGCTTGGCACTAAAAATCTTTAACATGAAACTACAGGCTCAAATGTCATGGGAATATTTTTCACTCTAAAGAAGATATTTCTATTAGCATTTCCTGCTCCAAAGATCATTTTCTCCTTCCTGAGAAGACAGTTGCTTCCTCCTTTCTGATAATGAGAACAATGTACCTGACTAGCTTCCCCATTTCTTTAACTGCTAGAAAGCTCTATCCTTAGAGTTCAGTTTCAAACTTATAAAACATAAAATCTCATGGATTATTTGCATTCTTTTTCTTGATTGACTCTAGTTTTATACCTCCCTTTTCTGTAGTTCATAGAGTTAAAACAGAGCTTTCATGGTTACCAGCTTATTTCTATTTTATTCTTTTGTTTTATTTTCTTTTATTTTCTACATTTGCATTATAAGCTACCTCAAGTCATTTATTGAATATGGAATCCTTAAAGGAAAAAGAAAAGTAATAAATTAATTGAATTCAAAGACACCCGTTGCTTTCTTTTTGGTGGCATTTTTGAATAACAGAGTGTTGGTCACTTTATCATTCTATGATAGAATGTATTTGCTAATTTAGACTTGGTTGTTAGCATCTGTAGTTAAATTGACCAAAAGTAACTTATGAACCAATGTGCCTCAAGATTTAACACATAATGAGACTTGACTATTCACAGTTTTCTAATTAGATGACTTCTTAGAAAGTAAATAAGTCTTTATTAAAGAAATGAATAAGGCTTTGCTCTAGGTTTTCTAATAAGGCCTAGTTTCTAAGGACAAAGAACATATAGAAACCATCATTCAGTGTATATCCTGGTGCTGTCTTTGACTAGTGTCCATTCTTTACTATCCCATCCACAGATATCTGGAGTTCTTTCATCTGGGAAAGTAGTAATTTGATTCTTGAGTCTTACATGACAAAGTTGGAGTAGGAAAAATAGTATCACCTCCTACCCCGACCTGAATGGTATTTCCTACCTCCCTCCATTGCAATTAGGCACGAAGGGCTGGATTCCTTCAGCTTTATGGGGTATGACTTGGGATGTTTAGAGTCTGGATGGAGTGACATTGTGTAATACAGGAATTGAGGACAGAGGTCTTCCAAGTTCCTCTAGAGGATTTCTTTTCTTTCCCTTCTGTGATTTCAGACCCCCATCTATGTCTGCTGGAAGAATCATTAAGTCTGAGCTCTGAGCTCCTTCCTCTTACCAGACCTGATACTGACTCTAAGGGGAAGGGAGAGTTAGCAGGAAACTACTTCTCTTTTCCTTCTTGAAGGGGGTGTGTCCTGGGCTTTTCTGCTTGCAGAGGCAGTAATGTGTGCCTGGAGTTGCTGATTAATCAGTGCACCTTTATTCATGCAGTGAGTTGCTGTAGTTCAGATATTAATATTCTCCTTTCAAACAGCAGAAGAGGTGACTGTGCCACAAGACCACTGGAAGAAAGGCTCCCTCGAGCTGTGATGTGAAGAGAGGAATCACCAGGTAAGCCCAATACTGTAGCTGTGGCCTGACCCCTTTGAACCCTTACTGGTATCACCATTACCTGTTATCATGAAATGTGCGTTTTCTCCCCATGGGGAAATTTTGGATATCAATATCTTATTTCCTGAAGAATGTTAAATAAAAGAACAGAGTTGAAAAAGCTATGAGCAGAGCCAGCAGAGTGCAACCTCTTGCTAAGTGTACAATTTGAGATGATTTGCTTTGTCTCCACTTCCAGTTTTCTGACTCAAAGCACATGCTTTTCTCTCTCCATGATAATGCAGTGTGCCAGGGAGGTAGGTTGACTGAATTAAAGAAGGCTACACCAAAAAGACATCTTAAAAATATCAGTCGTGGGAACCAGCAGTTAGCGTAATGGCTATGTCACTGGACTCCCACATAGTCGACCGCGGTTCGTGTCCCGGACCTGGTGGCTTAAAACTCACGCCGGGCGTGTGTGTGTGTGTGCCCAAGATCCCGAGAGGAGAATGGAGGAGAAGGGATTGCGGCGTGACCATCCTCCCTGGGGAGTGATTTCTCACTTTCTGTCTCTCTGTCTGGAGAGCGCCCATACCCTATAGCGAAAACCTCTCAAAAAAAAAAAAAAAAAATCAGTCGCAATACTTCTCCAAATTGGAAATATGGTAACTATAGCAATATCTTAGAATTAAATTCAGCTTAAGAGGATTATGTTTGCTTTCACTTTAGAATGAATTGCCTGACCTAGTATATGCCCAGGAAGTACCTCCAATTTAACTACTTTTCTGGACTCCAAAATATCTAAAAAAAAAAGATCTTAATAACTATTTCTTCTGCCTTTCTCCCAGGTAAACATAAAGCTACACATTTTATTTCTGACTGACAGGCCTTGGAAATTCATGGCCTGAATTCATGGCCACATAATACTTTATTCAGCTATTGCCAAGTAGGATAACCATGGGCAAATTTTTTAGCTTTTTTGGCACTATTTAATTTGTAACATGTCAGCAGTAGCATTACAATTTAAAATGAGAGTGTGCGTATGTTGAGTCTTATAAGCTCCACTTGCAAACACTCACTTTGTGCACACACAACCACAAGCTGATGCAAATTATTGCTGAGGGTCTCATACGTGTCTCCAAAAGGTACTGCATTTCTTTAAAATAGGAACAGTGTCCTCATTACAGGGCTTATCTGTTGCTGTCGAAGATAAGGGCGGCACCATACTTTCACATCTATATGCCCTCTAATGTCTTTCATTTCACAGTTAAAGGAATGCCAATATCCTACTAGAAAAAAATAAATACGCAACTTTATTAAAAATAAGATAAAAGTGAACAATTTTAATGTTTTGATTAGAAGCAAGAGGAAACCGGAAGAAGCAAGAGGGCCCTTGGGTATCTAAGGGCATTCATAGTGGTAGGGATGTAAGTCATAAGGGTGAACAACTCAGAAAGGGGAGGAGTGGTATCCCAAGACAAGTGTCACTGAAGTCACACTTTTTCTAAGGCCACCCCTTATGAAACCAAGTGCTATACAATCTACTCGGTCCAAATGTGTCTATTTGCAACTTTCAAAATAGTCTGCCTGCTTCCCTTTTTAACCTTCTTTGGCAAGGAATACCCATAGCCACAGAGACAGGAAACACTGTTACCTGTCTTGGGATTTCTTCTGGATTGTTCTTGTCAAATGGCTGGTAGGGATCTAGGCACTGGCATGTTGAGAATGAAAATCCATAGAAATGAATAACAGAAGTAGAAAATGCCCTGACCTTTCATAGAGCTATAGCAAACTCCTCATGTATAGACAGTTGAATAAATAAAATGCAAAGAACAGCAGGGAGGCATGTGATCCTAAAACTGCAAAATACAGTAAGTCTCATTAATGAGGGTCTTCTTGGTGTCTTGGTGTTCTCACTGCAAATGTCAGTTTTTAATCTCCAGAGACCTGCAAATCTTGGAAATTTTAGTTTTGTTTGCATTAATGAAGTCTTTTTAAATAAAGACTTCTAATTCTTTAAGAACATTTCTTTCTAATTTTCTTCCTTCTTATAAGATAGGAATTTAAAATACTGATCATAAGAGTGCCTTATTGTTCAGGGATAAGCAAATATTTACTATAAATTTGGAATATTAGGACAGCTTATTACAGTTGAACGGATTTATACCTGCAAAGTTTTGGGTAAAGAGAGTTTGTATTAAGCTGATTATGTTTTCCATAAAAACCCTTTACACTGTGTTTATACTTGAGCCTAATTATGCATGGAGACTTCCCTATGCTTAATCTCTTAGACAATCTGGCTAATTATTTCAAAGACACTTAATGATTTCCTGGGTATATAACACTCTTCTACACTGTGGATCAATAAATTAATTGAAAAGTTGGGCATGATGGCATAAATCTCCAATCCCAAAGACTCAGGATATTGAAACAAGAGGATCATGTCTCAAAATGAATAAATAATTAATAGATATCAACTAAGCAAGTAATTCTTAAAAGAAATGACACTGCAGAATTAAAAAATATTTTTTCAGAATTTTTCTATATGGATAGGTGGTCTTTAAAACTGATAAAGAATTATCAAGGCAGTCTTGATAAAGAATGGTTTAGTCAAGAAATGTAGTTGGCATAATTGGCTATTCATTTAGAGAAAATAAAAGTGAATTCCTATTTCATCCCCCAAACTACAATAACTCCAAAATGATGAAAGATTTAAATGTATTTTTAAAAATGATTTACAAAATCCTAAAGAAGCGTTAGAGTATAATATAGGAGAGCACCAGCAGATGGCATAATGGTTACAATGCTGGACTCCCACATAGTCGACCTGGCTTGAATCTCAGACCTGGCAGCTTAAAAACTCACGCCAGGTGCGTGTGTGCATGTGCCCAAAAATCCCAAGAGGAAAATGAAGGAGAAGGAATTGTGGTGTGGCCAACCCCCTGAGGGGTGATTTCTCTCTATCTCTCTGTCTCTCTCTGGAAAGCTCATGTGCCATATAGCAACAGTCTCTCTCAAATATTTTTACAGTATTTTTATAAGTAAAAAATTTTAGCATAATCTCAAGTTTAAAACTTATAATGGATAAGATTGATGTGATTTCACAAACATTTTAATCTTTTACACAGAGGAAAACAACATAAGAGATTAAAAGATGGAAGACAGGGACCAGCAGTTAGCATATTGGCTATGTGGATGGACTCCCATGTAGTCGACCGTGGTTCATGTCCCAGACCCAGTGCCTTAAAACTCACGCCGGGCGCGTGTGTGTGCGTGCCCAAGATCCCGAAAGGAGAACGGAGGAGAAGGGATTGCCGCGTGGCCATCCACCCCGGGGGGTGATTTCTCACTTTCTGTCTCTCTGTCTCTCTCTGTCTGTCTGGTGAGAGCAAAAACCTATAGCAAAAACCTCTACCAAAAAAAAAAGATGGAAGACAAATCATGATAGAATATTTGTAACACAAGTGACAAAGAGCTAATATCCATTCTATGCAAAATAAATCCTAAAAAGCAGGTCTTAATAAGGGGAGTCAGATGGTGGTGCAGTGGTAACACAAGGCCCTGTGAGGTTATCCCACATGGGAAGGTTCTGGGTTCATGTCTGGAGGACTTCCTAAACATGATGGGTGCATGTGTGCCCACAAACCAGGCTGTCTGAAGCTGCAGGTTCACTGGTGTGAGGAGCCCTGTTGGGGTGCTTTCTCTCTGTCTTTGTCTCTCTTTGCTCATGGGAGAAAGAAATGAACAAACTTTTAAGAAAAAAAAAAGAAAAAGGTGAACTTACCAATAGAAAAACTTAGAAAATATCTTAAATAGTTAAGCCAGGGGGAAAAAAAAGGCCAATAAACACCTGAATAATGCTTACTCTTACTATCAATGACATAAAAATTAAAATAATTATATAGAATTTTGACTATTATTTAGCAACATTAGAAGGAAGTTGAAGACAGTGTGATGAAATAGGCATTTCTATACCTTACAACGGAGCATAAATGGGTACAAATTAGGATGGCAATTTAGTCATGTCTATGAAAACTCAAAATAAAGAACAATTTGAGGCAACAATTCAACTCTTCCCTAGACAAATCCTTATTTGCCTGGAATTAGGATGTGTGAAAGGAAGGTTAATAGAAGGGAAGTTTGAGGGTAGGTTGTAGGAGTTCAAAATGCTGAAATAATGAGTTTGCCCTTCATTCTGCACCAGTGTGGAACCTTGATGGTTCTGAATATGGATTGATTTGATCTAAAAATAGGCGGAATGTCACTCAACTAGTTCTGTTTCTAGAAGAATCTTTTAGGGAATGTGATTGAAAAACATGTGTTTTATTCTTTAAGAAATTTATAATGAAATTACTATTAGTATAAAATACATAGGAAAACTTAAATAGTTAGTGGTTTCTGGTATATTTGAAACAAATAAGATTTATCAGTATAAGCATTGAATGAGAAGCCAGATGTTTGTTTTACTCTCATTTAAAACCAGATCAAGAAGGGTTTATGATATCTTTAATCTGAGCCTGTTCTGTAGATATTTTCTAGTAGGCTTGAAGATTGGTGTTTTCATCCTTAGACACTGAGGCCACGCATTTGTTAGTAAGATAGCTTTGAAACATGTATCCTTTTTTATTGACCAAAGAACACTTAATTTTAAGAAACTCGGATGGAGATCAAATGAACAATTGCGATCCTATTAAGATCATGCCCCAAGCTATGAAAACTAACTGGATGATAGTCAAAAGGAAGTATTAAATTCCTTTTGAGAGAAAAATGTAGAGAAATGGTCATAAATTCTTTTAAGTTAGAATATAGGTATACTCTTTTCATTCTCCACAAGTGTGAAATGGAATTAATTCCTAGTTAATTTACAAGATTGCCAAAATAAACAAATTAATGTGAAAGTACTTTGTCAGTTAGAAAGAAATCGTTCTTACTTCTTCTTGTTGGATAGCTATCACCTCTCTGGAGTGCTGTTCAGGTATTTTTCTAAGCAAATAATTCAAGAGGAAGCCTAATTTTCCTGG